CCCCCCCCCCCCCCCCCCCCCCCCCCGGCCGCCCCGCCAAACCACAATCCATCCACGCGTTGCTTCCCAAACCTCACCTCCAAACAAAGTAGGCAACGTCGGAGCACACAGCTTGCGGCGCGAGGCCAACCCGGCCGTCAAGCGGGAGAGGACAAGCAGGGGCTTCAAGCCCGAACCGGAAGAAGAAGAAGCCGCTTCCGACAGCAGCACGTCCGCGGCGTCCTCCTGAACTACCGCCGTAGCCTTAGGTGCCGCCGTGGCCATCCTCACGCCGCCGGAAGCGGGGGCGTTGTCGGCGATTTCGAGGGCGTTCTGGCTGCTGCTGCTGCTGCTTCGGGCCCAGTCGTCGTCGTCGGATGAAGACGAGAAGAAGTTCTCCCGGAAGCTCACGCGGTGGGACCAGCCGACGGTGCCCGCGAACAGCACGCACCGGGTCACCTGTAAGCAAAATCAAAAGAAGAAAGGGGGCCACGCGGTTAGAATGAAGACAAATAGTCCCGGGCGGGGGGGCGTAGCGCACGGGTCACCTGCTGTATGAAGGGGGGTAATACGCATTAGGATGGCAACAGATAGTCCTGGGGGGGGAGCGTATCCCCCGGCCAATACTGAAGCCCGATTCTCCGTTTTTCCCCACACAGCCCCCGCGTTAGAGGGAAGGAGACAAACAAGAACGGCATCAACACCAGGTGTACCAATGCACTATTTTCTTTCGCAGTTTAGTCTCTATCGCTGCTTGAAGACGGCCTGCCTGGCCCTACGGTAGACGAGCCCACGCCCAGCAAAGGATGTATCCTTCCTCTGAAAGACAAAATTCACACACGTAGACACACCAAAAAAGACAAGATTCGAGATAACCGAAAAAGAAAGCAGGAACACCAACAAGTGCGTACGTTGGCATCCCATCGGGTACATTGAGTGCCATACGTTTGTGCGGGCAAAGACAAAGGGCCTAGTCAAAAGCACAGGACTGCCCACTCGTTATCACGTGGGGAGGAGGGGGCACACAGACCCTAACCCCAACCTCAACTTAGCCGATTTCATACTTCATCCAGTATGTTTACAATCGAAAGCTGAAGCTCAAGCTTGCCTGGTACACCACGAAGGCCGCCCACACTGAGGCAAGCTTGAGAGACGGCGACCTCCTCATGAGCACGAAGTTCCCCGAGAAGAGAACGCTGCACACCGTGTAGATCGCCGCCGTGGGGTACACCTCCCTCGTCGCCATCATCGCACCCTGCCGACAGCACGAGAGCGGCCGGGGTTTTGGTTTGGTGTGTGCGATCGTGGGTGAACGTTGGGGCGGGGAGGGATTGCTCCGATGTAACTGTTCCTGTCTTCCCATCAAAAACCGTTCCAATCTCTTTCTGCCCAGGACCTTCCTCGATCTACCACTTGACGCGGTCGATTCCCGTGGTTACGGGCCATTTTGCCCTACGTACAGTATATCTATATTTTATCGTGCACGCGCATTTTTGTGTTCGCAGTATTAAGTAATGGATAGGAAGAAATCCCCCCCCTCCCCCCCCCGGTGTTTGCCATCGGGGTTGGGTTTTCGTCGCTTGGCAACGACGTTGTACAACAAGCCCCCCCTCGGTGTTACGCCAAGTAGATGAAGGGAAGGATTGGTTGTGAACTTGTTCAAGAAAGGAGACAAGACTGACCCAGGAAACTACAGGGGGATCACACTGTTGAACACAGTAGGAAAAGTGTTCTGTAAGCTGCTGAACGATAGGATAGTGGGAGTATTGGAGAAGGAACATAGCATTAGTGAGGGCCAGGCAGGTTTCCGCAAGAAGAGGGGGTGCGTAGACCACGTGTTCACGGTAGGGAGAATCATCCAAGGTAGAAAGAGGGCGGGAAAGCCGACGTACTGCTTCTTCCTGGACGTGAAAAAGGCATACGACACCGTATGGAGAAATGGGTTGTGGAAACAACTGTCCAAATACGGGATCAAGGGGAAAATGTGGAGAGTGCTGAAGAAGATGACAGAGTGCACGAAAAGCGCGGTCATGCTAGACGGAGAACTGTCAAAATTCTTTGACATTGAGCAGGGGGTCCCACAAGGTTGCACGCTGTCCCCATCATCGTTCCAGGTGCTCATCAACANCGGGAAAGCCGACGTACTGCTTCTTTCTGGACGTGAAAAAGGCATACGACGCCGTTTGGAGAAATGG